TAGAAAGGAGCACACAAGTACCATGCGCCCCTAGATATTTTTGACCGGTGCATCTCGTTTGCACGCAACGAAACCCGCCGTTAAACTAAAAAGAACGACTCGTCGACCGTATCCGAGTTGGGTTCCAGATAATATTTATGATAAAGATAAACAACTAACTGGATCCGATTATAAACACAATAACATACGAGTTCGGTCCCACTATAAAAATCATAAAATACTAGTTCGGTCTATGACAATAAAACCTGTAACTTACAAGTATTGATAAAATTGAAAATATTAAAAAAATTAATAGATTTGAGTTTGTAAAAGCTCTACCATTTAAATTTTTACCAATTATGTACATTTTTTAATTGTTTAATAATTTTATTTATTTATTTACCATATACCATATAATATTTTCAATTAATAACTATATACCATATATTAGAAACTTAAAAAAAAATCATACATGTGTTCTAATTTATAAGTAACTGACAGTCCTAAGTCTGTAAAAATGATAAGCGATTTTTTTTTTTTTTTTTTTTTTTTATATGGATCCAACTAGAGTAGTACCTACTTGTAAAATCGTGGGACCCATCTAGTGTACTAAGTACCTGAAAAACACTGGAACCTAACTAGACTAAATAAGGGTCTTCAAGACCCAACTAGTTAATACCGCGACGACCGATTACCAAAACACTGATTTTGAAATTGATAAACGAATGATATATTTTTTTGTAAAAAGTTATTTAACCCCTGAAGAAAATTCGGATGAATTTTGTGATCTTATATCGATAGCACCTAGTAACAAGTCTAGAACTACTTCTAAAATTCCCGATTATATTTTAGAAAATTAAATTACATCAGACAGTAATTTGCCTCCGACATTACAAGCTTGAGAACCTATTAATAATCCTAAGACTACTAATGGTGCAGAAAGTTTTCACAAACATTATAAGAACTAGTTTTACACCGAATGAATCTTATAGACAAAGTAAAAAAAAAATATAAACAAAAATATGAATATAATTACTTAGTTTATTTTGCTTTTTTGCTTTTACTAAATCTTAAATATTACATAATACGTATAACAAAATAAATATATTATTATTTATAACAATTTATATTTTTTATTAAAAACATTTGTGATTTTAGTTTGTTTTTAATTATTTTTTTTAACTATTTTTCAAAAAATACTGCTCGTACTCGCAAATGTACATTAAAATGAATAACTCGGTGATGAGTAGATCTCCTCAACAGGTCTAGAGTCTCTAAAATATTTTTCTTTGATAGTAGTTCAACTATGACGTCAATAAATAATAACCAACACAAAAGTTTATTTTCTATGACATTTTTACGTAATTTAAATCTAATAACTGATTTTTTTTTTTATGTATTTGGATACGTCCAGACAGTTTCAGACGATTTTGAGTCTAATAATTGGCTGAACCTTGAGCCTTAAAAGCGACGCCTACTATATTATTAATTAATTTAGAAGTATACAATTTCAAAATTAACTGACACAGACTACAATAACTACTTATGAATAGGATAGTTATATATTTATTTAAAACAAAAAAAAACGCACACCTAAATTTTTAATCATGCCTCTGCAAAATAGATAGTTCTCAGTCTAAAATAAAGTGTAAAAGAAAATGCGTTATTGTGATCAAACGAATCATAAAAGATAAATAAGCGCAAACGAGTCATAACCATTTTTGACCATACGCGTTGTTGATAAACTATATATACCAAATAATATTAATCTCCTCGTTCTGGGCAAAGAATCAAAGCCACCATTATTTTTGATCTTATTATAACCAAAATAAATACGTATGCCTACAATCAATAAAAATTACAGGCTATAAATAAAATAAATCAAAGTTTATGATTATAATTTTGTTCTGAATTTTAAAGACAGATTATGTAAAAAATCCACAGAAAAAAATAAATATTTTTTCCCAACTGATAAATGAAAATAATAACATAATTAATGAAGCAAACGAAATTATAAATATTGTTTATTTTTGTAAGCTAGTTAGTAGGTATGAATTTATTTTCAGGCAAAATAAGGTTATTTATAGGGCAATAGTGGCCATATCATATTATAGTAAAATATTTTAATTATAAATTATTAATAGTAACAACTTTATAATTTAAAATTAATTTACTTTTTAATTACATAATGTTCATTATTTCATTAATTTAATCATTCATTTTTTCTTATGAATCAACATTATTTCATTCATTATAGTACACAATTAAAAGTTGTAAAATCATACTTATCATTAAGTAATCATATCCTTTAAGTTGATAAATTTACAAAAGTGGATTTTTTTTTTTGAGTAATTGGTTGACTTTAAAGATTCAACTAATGTCTAAGATGGTAAAAGTTACAAAGGCAATAGTAATCGATTTTAAATGCTTGTCACTATTTTTTTAAAATTAATTTAATATTTTCTATTAATAACAATTAAAAAAAATATAATACAGAAAAATATCTTTCAATGAAACTGACAGGAATACAAATTAAGTAGGAAAAACTAATTTTGAATTTATAGGAGAGACATTTGCTTACTTTTTTGCACCAATAACTCTTAAGCTAATAATACTTTTAATAACACGAATAAAATTCTAATATATTTAAATTGTAATTCGGACTCATCAATTTTATTTATGTACCTATAGATAAATAGTTTATATCATTTCACTTTAATATCCATGTATACCTATTGGCTATTATTATTTCAATCATTAAATATGTACAAAATATTTTAAAGATTAAAAAATTACAATCAATTATTTAAGTTAAAATTAAGCATCAATGTTTTGAATATGCTGTTTATAGATACAATTTAGAAAAATATACTTTAATATATTAATAAAAATAACAATTAAAACTTTTATCCGAATATTGGTAATAAGCAAGTTTACGTAAGCTTAGTTGACACAATTATTAACAAAATAAAAATAAGCCATGTAGATTCTTAATTAAAGATCTAATAAAAAAAAGAAAAAAATAATAGGTATAAGTGATTGGACATTCGTTACTTTAAAAAAAAAATGATGAGTATATCTATCAGTGTATATAAAGCAGTATAACTATAAGTCAACACTTGTAGATAATACTTGTATGAGTAAAATATTTTCAAAATCTCCCTTTATACTACATAGGTAATATCGAAGGTATTATGTTATACAACAAACTTTTCATAATATAAATAAAAGTATATAATGCATTTGGTAACATTGCAGGTTAGAGTGCAATGTTCAAAAGTACTAATTGTTTAGAACAACTTTGCATTCACTCATTAATAATCATATGCTATAAATATTTATATAATTTATTTAAAAACCAATTTATAATTATATTGTATTATAATAAAACTATAATTTCATGAAATAAAAAACGAGAATAATCTCGTAAAAAAATTGAATAATATTAATACGTAAAAATTACATACTAATTCTTAAACTATATTTAAAATTCAGCAAAACCTAATAATTGTATGAATATTTAAAAATAAATATGTTATTTTTCATTTTGAATGTGTTCATTTGACTTTGAACCGTTTGGCTATGTGTCAAAAACTCATTGGCAAGACCATTGTACGACGACGTTACGTTACTACTTACGAATAAATTTCAATCAAAATACTTTAAATCTTATACATTTTAATTTTATTATAAATCATTACTTGAAAAACTCACTTTTGTTTTAGTAAATAATTACGATATTTGGACATTTATAGTAATTCATTTATTCATACAAATGTAAATACAAGTATGTACTTTACTATCAAAAAAAAAAAAAAAAATTATATTTAAAAAAGTAAATGTCCACATTTTTTGATGACGAAAAGGTTTCAATAATCTAAAGAACGTTCTTTTTTAATAAACAATTATTATCTTATATTAACTGATGATCAGGTTTCAGAGTACCTATCAGACAACTTTAATACTTTGGCTTTTATTGCATTATAACCCTTTAATCAAAATGTGTCTTATACAATAAACCATTCGTATTTAGTACTTCGAATGATAATGATAGATTCTAATCCAACGAAAAACTTGTATATTGTTAACTTGTATACCATATTGTACCTAATATTATGGTAAATATAAAATAAATGTCAATAAATTAATTATCAACAATCAATTTATATTGGTAAAATCCTAACAGTAAGTACTAGATAAAACAAATATAATGTTGAGCAACAACTAATGACACTAGAACTTTCAATAGTATATAGACCTAATTTAGTCCTACGGTACTGCGTATATTAGTCAGCAGTACTTCACCTGTCCTGTTTTTTAGCTTTGATATTGCAGATTCATTCGATTAACCTTGATGAATTTAACGACAATTACCACTTAGTTTTATTGAGCTAAAAATAAACACCATCCAGTTAAAAAGGATATAAAAGGGTCTTGTATGAAGGAAAGGTCATTTTTCTACTCACTATATAGAAAACAGTTTACGAGTCATAAATAATTGGTTTATAGGAAGCTAACATATGGTACTTAATTTTAATAAAAATATATTAACGCATATATTTTATAATAGTGTGACATTTCAAATCTAAATAGAGTAAAAATATATTTTCATATTTAATCATTAAATCACTAACGTTGTAAGTTAATACAAATTTCATAATTAACTATTTAAGAAACAAAAATATTGTATCAACGTATTATTATTTTTTTTTTACACCAACTAAAATTTGAACATTGAACTTACATATCATTAAAGTCCATTACAGATGTTTCACTTCGTTTTCTTAAGATAAATACAATACTAATTAACATAAGCAAAAATAATACTGTAAAAATGTAACTATATAGGTGTTACATAACATTTGTATAGGTACTTTATTTATATGAATATTTTAGTGACAATTCATACGTCACCATACGTCATACGTAACCACATATATTATTCTTAATTAGTACGGGTTATATTATATTATTTTAATAAATTGATTATTTGATAAAATAATAAAATATAGTTTACTTACACAGCATCCTTCAAATTACAAAAAGTAAGATAGACCATAGTTGAAAATGTTTGGAAGATCTGTATGAAAGCTTTCAAAATGTATAGAATGACAAATTGGTGCTTGATGGGCAACAACGATTTAATACATCTACTTGATTGTTTCGTTAATCAAAAACCTGCAAGAAATATATACAAAATAATGTGTATACATACATTTACTTATAATATAAATTTCTTATAGAATGTTCATACATATTATAATACCCTAACAAAGCATACAAATTTACAAAATAAAAAAAAATCGATATAAAAATAATTTCACTAACAAATTGAAAAAATTGAAACATTACGTACAAAATTACATATCTACAACAATTAACAATATATTATTGTATTGATATAATGATTAAACATTTGTATTAACTCATAATTTATAAAGTGTATTATATGCAGCAGAGTCGTAATAATAGGAACTCAATATCCTCGATATATCAAATAATATTTTAGGTACCTACTCTAAAATTTTAATTACCGTAACTTATTTGTTCATACTCATAATAAATAATTAAATAAAAATAATGCAATTATCTGCATAAATAAGAAAAACACTTATGAGCCGCAAAATATATTTATAATAAATACCTACATATTAGATAAATTAAGTATCCCTAAGCAATATTTTCCGTTTATCAACAAGGATGAATAGTAATTAATTTATGAATACCTACATGTATGTAATAAACACTCAAATTAAACAAAAACTAAAATAACTTCATTCTTCTTTTTCTTCTTTGAAGTTTATCGGCCATTAAGACTATCCCGTAAAATAACCTCATTAACTATTTATAACTGTCATTCAATTTACAAAAAAATCAAACCTATGAACACTGCGTCATTGCCAATACTTCCTCCTCATGTTCTACTATAGATGATTTCATATCTACAAACAAATCGACGTCGTGTCTTTCATGTCCCATATTTTTAATATTTATGGGCAGGGGCATGTCAATGGGGTAGAGAGGTTGAGTGTTCAATCGATAGAATTATAGATAGAACGTCTAACAGGCTGATATCATAAGGAGAACATTTTCGGTCTCGCAAAAGACACAAATAGCAGATAGTTCTAAAATGTACTAAGTGCTGAAGATACATAATATTCTTGAACTTTTTAATTTTAAAAAATTCTGTTCCTCTAGAATTTTCTCCAAGTTGCACCAATATGTATGTTACAGTTAAAACCCAAAATTCGTAAAACTAGTCTTAACTAGTTAATACTAGTTTTCACAAATCAATTTCGTCAAAACTGATATTGACTAATTAACCAGAATTTCAATGTTGGTGTCACAGTTAAAAACCAAATTACATCAAAACTAGTTTTAACTAGTTAAACCATGGATTTTCAACCTTTTGAGGTCCGCGCCCCATTTAAAACTATTTTATGAGTTCACGCCCCACCCCCTACTATGTATACATATTTTACATGTTTTATTATGTATACATAATATTTATACGTAAACTATACTTTAATCCAGGGACTGGAACCAAACCCGAAAAAATCAGTTCTAGAACCCAAGAATCCTTAAAATATTGGGAACCGGAACCGAACCGGAAGTGAATTTTTACATATTCAAATAACCAGAACCGAACCGGTTCTAATAAATTATATTTTTATTCTTAAAATGTCAAAGCATAAATCAATTTTGGAGTTATAAACTTTTTAAAAATGTTATTCTTAATCTTAATTTTTAATATTATGTGCTGACAGACGAACGACTAAAAGCTAAACAGGTTAATACTGCAATTTCTCCACTACGAGAGTTATCTCAGCGGTGAATTGGTCAACATATCCTATTATGTATAGTTAACTTAATTTAATTTATACATATTACTGTTCTTTAATATGTACAAATTCTGTTTTTAACCAAATAAATTATTATTATTTATTATTATAGATACAAATTTGAATCACAACATAAGTTCAAAAATGAAATTTTATTTTGCATATTTTTTTATTTATTTGCTTTATTTTATTTTATTTAATCACTATATAGCTGTTAAAAAAAACTTATTGCGATATATATAAATAAATATATAAATTAATTGAAGAGAGACATTTTGAGACATATACAAGTATATAATGCCATATTGCTTAGTATAATGCCATAATACCGGTAAAATGTATGTAATTTTTAAATATGTATCAAAAAATACTACGGAAAAAATTTTAAAATATTTTATTTAGAAATCAAACCCGAACTCGAACCCTTATTTTGTATTTTTCAATAACCTGAACCCGAACCCGAAACTTTTAATAAAATAATCGAGAACCGGAACCGTAAAAACATAAAGGTACCAGTCCCTGCTTTAACGTTTGTTATTGGATTAATAAGAATACGACTTCAATGAAGTTTTTTTTAATATTAAATTAATATATTTGCATAAAAAAAATTGACCAAAGCGGCGACTAACACAGCGGCAAGGCACGGCGTAGAAAACGGCAACGTTTTCATTTTTCGTGTTTTTTTTTTCAACATTTTCATACCCCCCCCTCCCCCTAAAATTTTATCACGCCACCCTATAAAATAAATATTAAAAACTAAAAATTGTTAATACAACTATATTTCTATCTACTATCTACTATTTCTACTAAGACACTTATTAAATATATATATACTATATTTATATATTTTTCTTTGTTCAATAAATATATTCTAGAGATTGATAAGTATTAGAGTAGAATAAGTTAAATAATATACAAAACGTTTTTGTATAAATATAAGTCATATGTAAATTAGGGCCAAGAATAATATTAAATATGCGCATTAAAACAATGAATATTCAATAATAATACAAAGTAATACTTTTTAAACATTTAACAATAAAAAGTAACTACAATATTAAATTTAACATATATATATATCAAAAATTATCAATACACTCCAATATCAATAAAACACTAGAACCATAGGTGCAATTTGGGGGGACTTGGGTGTGCTTAGCACCCCATTTTCGAAATAAGCACCTCCAAATGTGTTTATGTTAATTTACTAATTTACATTTAAATACTCATTACTCATTATGTATAAAAAAACAGAGTTTTTATTGTATAAATATATACATTTTTTTATATATAATTTTTTTTCACGCCTGGAAAAACTCTTAAGATTTAAAAAATGATCTATCTAAAGTACCACCGTATGCCAATTTAAAATCTAAAAAAGGTCCTAAAAAAACTTTTGGTCCAATATTTCTATCCGAAAAAGTGTTAAAAAAATAAGATACAAACATCATTATAAAAACATTATACCTTCGCTTTAGTCAGAATCTAAAAGTGATTATGTGATGAAACATTTGTGTTTACAGACAGGTAATTCGTTATACGGGCAATAAAAATATAAAATCAAAGTGAACAATTTAAATTTAGAAATATTCATATATTTACCAAAGATTTTAGTAACTGTTGAATTGTACGGGTTGTGGGTGTCTATAACCATTAAGGAACATGAAAACGATAGAAGGGCTTCAGCACCCCCAATTTTTTCATTGAAATTACGCCCCTGACTGGAACATATGTGCATGATAAAGTTTTAGTTAAATTATTACTTTTAAATTATAAGCTTCATAAAATAAAACAGACATGTAAATATCTTAAATAATAAAATACAAATTAAATTATTGGGTTTCAATCACTTAATACCTCTTTTAATACCAAGTTCAGCATAAAATTATTAATATTAAATATATAGCATATACAATTCACTATGCAATGGTTTCTTTCTAAAATAATTATTTTATATTTAATAAAATAAATAATCTTATAACTGTATTGTATTACCAGAAGTAGATGAATGCTTCTTTTATAGTGATTGCAGATTTGATAGGTATATAATAAAAAAAATTCTGATAAATAGGTATTATATTAATAAGTACAACCAATTATTTAACTCATATAGTTGTGCAACCTAATTAATCTAGTATTAAAAATAAATAAAAATGATTTTTGGTAGTTGTTACTAAGATACTATTTCAATATAATTTTGGAATTGTTTTTTCTTTAAAAACATTGCATAGTAAATTAAAAATATATCTTAAATAATACCAATTGTTTAAATTTAAGTTTCAATATTTTTAACTTTTGAAATATTATATAAATATTTAAATTAAAATATGTAAATAGCTACACACTTTTCTGGTAGAGAAATTTTTATTGTTTTATAATTTAATTATCAATGAAGAAGGAAAAAAAATATGAAAGAATAATAGTTTGAATGTAATTTTTTTTGTATTAAATATAATGTGAAGCATATCTTTGATATTTTATATTTTTCGTTTTTTAAGTGACATATAACAAATTAATTTCCTTCTATTAATAGATTTAAGCATCTTCTGATGTATTAAAATCACATGGGCAGTTACTTGCGTTATACATGCTGTGTACATTAGCCTTATTAGTTGAATCAATTGTTACTAATAAAAATATTTTTTATCAAGCCTAGTTCTAATTTATTTTTGATATTATTGAAAAGAAAATTCAAAACAAATTAGTAAACACAATTAATAGAAGAGAAAATTACATTTGTTAACTTTATAGATTTGTCCCTTAACCGTTAAAGAAAATTCTACGTTGACATTGTTTTTTAATGTAAATATCTTTTTTTCATTTTAGTATAAATTATTTTGTAATGCATACAATTAAAAATACTTATAAAAACAGATCTAATTATTATTGGATGAGTACCTCATTTGTTTATAAAATAAATTAACTTACAAAATATTTTAAAATACTAAATTTAAGATGATTTAATTACTTTGATTGTTGACGAAGATTTAAAATAAAACATACACCTAAGTACTATAATACTGAACAGAATGAATATATTTTTAAAATATTACTGTCAATAAGCCAAATTTAAACTCTAAAGACCAAAATGAACTAATTTTTTTAGATAGTATATCATAAATATTGATACATAAAGTTAAAATTAAAATATACAAAATATATAAGTCATAGTCATAAATTAAAAACAAAATAAAATAATAAATAAATATGAGTACAAAATAGGGCAAATTAAATGGAACAAAATAAGACTCGATTAAATTAAAACTTTGGTTAAAACTGTCAATAACTAGATACCTTTGTTCTGATATTACTTCTGTAATATCTGTCTACTACTCACTATTTAATATATTTGACTCATATATTTTAAACACCATTTTCTCATAACTTATTAAATAATAATATTAATTATAACGAAAAATATGATCATCAAAATGTCATTCCTCATAAATGGTCAATGATTCAAAAAAGAAAAAACCTAAAGGTATTAGTAGTAGTACATTATTGTGTTACATGTACAATTACAATACATACTTAAATGTTAAAAGAAATTGTTATCAATTTAATAAATTCCTGTTGCTATACTTATTGTGATTCATACATTATGTTCATGAGGTTATCATGTATCATCTTTAACTATAATGAATAATATATAGGTACTTTTAAATTGATATTATGTTTTTAACATAACTATTTTCACAGTATTAACTAGGTACTAATTAACAGAGCTTAATCAAAATATATTAAAATTAAAAAAAAAAAAATTATAAAAAACAAAAATTAAATGTCTATAATGTAAATAATAACTATGTTGTTTAGATTATAATCTAATTCTTACCAATTAGAAATAGACACTATTTTGTATAAAATAATTTATTACAATAAATAAACATTAACAAAATATTTTTAATTTCTGTAATGTAAATCTTTACTTTATTGAGTGTTAAGACAGAAAAATATTCATAATAGGTAGGTATATTAAACAAAATTAAATTATTAAGAGAATTGTTTAAGTAAAGGTAATATGAGTTTCATTCATTAAGTATCAGGTAAAAACTACAAAATAATGCATATTAATCATAATTATTTCAAAGGAATGCAAGTATATTTGTTAAATATATTTTTATTTTTTATATAAATAAAATAAAATAAACATTTTGAAAATTGTAATTTTCTGCTATTCTGGAAAAAGTGATACAAAGAGTAGATATATAACATTTGATTAGGTATTCTATACTATAAAAAGTATTCAAATTAAATAGATAAATAAATTTAGCTCAAAAGGCTCATAAAATATTATGTTGTGATACTTATATAAATAATTAATAAATAAAAATTAACTCAACTTGATCAATTTACATTTTTTTCATAACTCTTATAAAAATTAAACCACATTTATAATTAATTTGCTGAGAAACTGGTTTGAAATGAATTGTAAGACATCAAGGTTAATGATAAATTAATTTATGAAATTCATATTATACAAATAAATTACTATATTTCAATTAGCTTGTAATGAATAGTGAGTGTTCTTGATACAAGTTTCTCCAATACAATACTTCATTTAAATTAAAATAATACTTTAAAAGTTATGTAAGTTAAAAATATAATTGTTAAAATAAAAAACTAATTATATACATACATGTGTATTTAAGAGTCAAACATTCTTAAGCCTATAAAAAAGAAATTAAATGTTTCTATTTCAAAATAAGAACAGTAAGTGTAATAAGAAAGTATCCATCATTAACATGAAAGCTATATATTTTCAAACAGTTTTAAGAAAATACCATTGTTAAACTAATAGGAGGTATTTAAATGTATTACAATAATGCGAAATACTAAGATAAAAAAATAACTTATTACTACGAAAAATTTAATATAATTAAAACTGTATAGATATCTATTTTTAAAAATATTTTAATTATGCTACAGTTAAATACCTCCAGTTACTTAAACTAGATGCCATAAAACAAGTTAGGTATATTATATACCTATTGAAAATGCCATTGAAAAGAACATGATTGTATTTACTACAGCATTTAAACTTTTAAAAATAAGTATTCAGTACAGTACTAATTTAATTTACCCAACGAACAAATTTGAAATATTTTTACGTCCACCCCCTGTTAACATAAATTACAATGTTTTACAATTCGAATAACGATTTTCTTATGCAGATTTTACCGTCTCACACATATCCACTGATAACCTACACACATGCAACTAAGGAAATAATGGAAAAGCGCTGATAGGTATAGGGATCAGTTCAAACGCGTGAAAGATTGGTGGCGGACAAAAAGCGAAGTAGGCTCAACGACGAATGGTCAATGGTGGTGGTGGTCGTCAAGTACCGGGCGCAGGGATGAAACAAAAATAAATACGTCAGTCAAGTAAGTACCTGGATCGCGGCATTTCCGTGTCCATGCCGGCAGCCAGCAGCAGCCGCGCAGCAGTAGTAGATGTGCGTCCGTTTCAGGGTAAGGGTAGCAACGTACGCCGCGACGGGGCGCGCCGATGACCAAACGCGGAACGCGCGCGAATACTCGCGGTACGGAAGGCCGAGCCGGTCTGCGTGCTGTAAGGGTGTCACGATACGAGCGCGACGCGGATGGTACCGGCATTACGACGGCGTAGGGTAGGCGGCCGTGGGGATGGGATGGGGGGTGTGTGAAAAAGTCACGGGAACGCGTTACATAATAACGGCTGAATTAACGGTGTCGGTTGCTGTAACGACAGCTGATGGCATATTCTGCACATGTGCACGTATTTCGCGCAATTGATAACACCGTGCGATGATAAGGTCGACGGCGTATTCTCCGATCTTGTAGTGGTTCCTCCGACGAGCATCCGCGAAATAGACCGCGGTCCATCCACTGGACGCCGCCGTTCAACTACAACTCGGAGCGAGAGTATAATAGTTTAACAACAAAACGGATTTGTACGATGTACCAGTTATTAGCAACCACCATGTTTTCGATTGAAAAGCGTTTTAAGTTTTAGCGGTTTTATTTCGGCTCGGGACAAAATTAAAATACGATGCTTTCTGCTATATTGCTGCACAGACCTCCGTCGAAACGCAACAATACGGTTTCGAGTGGCACAACGATAAAACTCAATGTGTTTGAACAGAATATCCGAACACGAAAAATTAAAAAAAAAAAAAAAAAGAAGATTTTTGATCCAACACTTCATTCACTAGGTTATGCCTCTGTAAGCATCGCTATTACGAATAATAATAGGAGGGACTACGAAATCGAACGGAGAAAAATTCGTTTAAAGTTATGCAACTTGACAGTCCCATAACAATCGATAATTTAGTGTTACTCAAGCGACTCGATGCGAACAAATCAAAACAATTGATTAGCAGTTAATTGGTTAACCTAACCTGGGCTCTGAAGTTACGTGTGTCACGTTTTTCAGCACATTTACTCAGTGCCATTTACAATATCGTCACAATTCAAGTGTCCATACCCCTCCTACCGTTATAATACGACCAGAGGGATTGATGTCACGCTTCCAGCAAACAATCGAATAACGTTATTTTTTACGCGTTCGACGATTGTTTATTAAGATTTAATTAAGAACGTGATAATGATTTTTACGAAATAAAGAGCGTGTTTCTTACTTTTTTTCAACAAAATACTTATAAAATAAGTTTCACAAGTCCATACGCTAACGACACATAGGCAGGCCACATTTGCGCGTCTCTCGTGATTTTACCTGTCGGTAAACCGTTCACGGCTTCGAAATCATCACGAATAACGTTCTCGCGAAACATTGCACTAATGTTAGTCATGATCAAACAGCGATCAACGATCGTTACCATAGATCTGACGACCAGACCTAGGTATGAAGTTTATGCGCAAAACCGTTAATGTTAATTATAACATCGACGTGATGGGAATTGTACCCTACCGACATGCGGTTTTTCGTTCGACGAACGCGCGACCCCCTCGGTTGAGTTGTTACGCAAATCGATGTGCTGGAATAGCGTTTACGATTGCGAATTCGTCTGCAGGTGCACATAAACCACAAGAATATGTACTACTGGCGGCTGTTAACGATTCAGCTGTGTAAGGGTTGGCCGTATACGACCGTGTTTTTACTATTTTTCCGCCATGGCACGAGTGGTGCGCCTGTGGTACAGCAGCACAGTGGAAAGTTCCTGTACGGGCGCGCCCTCTTCTCGCCCGCCGGTCAATGCCGTCGTAAATTTCTCCCACCGCGCGCGATCAAACGGTACCCCACCCGTCCGCGTCGTAATCCGCTTTTGTGCACGAGCGTCGGCGGCGGGCGGAATGCGCGCAGCTCGTGCTTCCGCTGGCGACCGACTCTCATCGATCCGCGCCCGTTTCAGACATTGCGCCCCAGCCCTCGTCGCCTTGACCTAACGTGGCGCGACATTCAATACAATATACATTTTTCGTCGCCGCGAAACCGAAACAATCGATAAACGGTAAACAACGGATAAGATAACGGATACATGGATAAATGGACAAACCGGTAACGGTAACGTACTGTGCAAGCGGTGCACAATATTCAATCAACGTGATTGATTAACGCTTCGTATAGGTCATGCGAAAATCTGTTAAGGGCAAATCTTATCGCGTCTTCGTTGTCTACACTCAACATAGGTACGGTAGGCTCGATAGTTCAATGTTCAAGGGATCGATTTCGAAATTAGATTCAAAGAGCTTTTTGATTCGGAGAGGGTTTGAATTGTCTAGGGGAAAAAAGAAATAGATAATTCGAGTTAAGAAATTTGAACATTTTTATAACAATGTATGTAATTATTATTTAATCGAAATGAATTTATTATTTGTAGCGAGTATATTACGTACATATTACGCATTTATTTATTAATTATACATACATTTAATTGAATCTGGTGTACATATTTCTTTCGCCTTCTTGTTGATTGAGTAGAAAACGATTAACGGAAAAACATTTGAAATTATTAAATTGAACATTAGAAATTAAAAAAATATGCTCTTCAGTGCTTTAAAAAACATTATTTGTAGGTTTTTTTGTGTTGATGAATAAAACATTTAAACTGAGTGAGTGCCTCAGTAGGTATCTTACATCAAACATTTAATGCATTTTTAATCAATGTTCGTAAACTAATAGATTATTCGTATTTCTATGGGCTTCAATTAGTGCAGACACATTATGATTGACGTTTATGCAATGTTTATTTTTACTTTGTTACTACCAATCATTTTCTATAGTATTTTGTATATTTTGTATCAGGAAAAAAAATGTAACCAGAAAGAAGACAGTCACATCGTTTATCTAAAACCCGTAACTACAGTATATAATTAATCGAATTTTAAAATCGTGATGATTTTTGTTTGACCAGACAAATAACATGAAAATTATCCACTGATTTATAACCAACAATAGTTAAATAAATAATTATTTAAAGTAATGAAGACGTTTTACTTATCTTATGTTAGGAATCAGAGTCTACTCGTACTTCAACATCTTACTGAAAATCAGAACGTAGTCTTAGAACCCTGTTATATAACACCAACAAAAAGAAAAAACGTTGATAAATGGACTTAAAATTGGATATGACAAAATTACACATAGCTGATTCGAGGAATTAAAAATAATCCCTCTGCGGTCAATGCGTATACCGAAGCGAACATCTAACTCACAATAACTGCTTTAAAGGATAAAATATATGACATTCCTAAATTAGTAACGCATAAAATAATATTTTAAAAAATAGAAATATAATAATATTTTATAAAATACCAGTCTAGATGAAAGATAAGAAGGCCCATACTCTTAATATTAATGCTGTTAAAAATATTATTAATTTAAGTGAATATTAAAATTTTCTTACTTTTTTAAATACGAAATTGTATTTTATTAATTTATATGTAGACAAAATTACTAAGAAATTACTAAAAGATACTACTAACCATAAGTATAGGTTCTATAGGTACTTTTATCAATAAAACAGATTATTCGATAACTTTTAGTTTTAGGCATGTGATTAAAGAAAATCATAATAAATAGAATCATTGATTATAAGTATTAGTATTTATAACCAATGATATAATATACCGATAACTATTGAATACCTCAATTATAAAAAAATAAAAAATTATACGTTGAATAACACGACTAAAAATAATTTATAATTATTAAACATATTTTTAACATATATAGCTATTTTAGTCCTTTTCTTAGATTTAAATTGAAAATATATAGTCATTGAGACTGACAAAAAATATAGGTTAGCTTGATATTTCTTTTAGCACAATGTGCACTTTACTAAATTCGAAGCTACTTACTTTAATAAAAAATATAAATATGGCATTTCTTTGTTATTTTCACAGATTTAAAAATAACAGTATACTATGAATAAACTCATAATATAGAACTAATATAATAAAATGCATCATGCAATAATTTAAAAACTTTAATTAAATTAATACAGAATTAGTATGAAATACTGACATTTAAATGGTCGATTAGACTACTACATTAGCTATTACACTAGCTGACTGTTCATTTAGGACGTGTTGATTAAATATTTGTGTATTTTATGCATTCGAAAATAATTAAAAGGGAAATTTGGTTGATTATGAATTGTATTAAAACATATATATAAAATATGATTATATTTGAAACCCATGAAAAGTCGAGTATAATATTTAATAGGTACATTTAAAAAACAATTTTAAAGGAAGGTCGCTTCGATTTACATAAACTATACATATCATTGTCATATTTACTTATATGTTATAGTATATATTTACGCTAAATTTTAAAAATTACTATTTTCAATGATTAAGAAATATTACGTTTCTACGATTATATAATGAACAGCTAGTTCATTATTCGTAACGTAATGTTTATCAAAAACATTACGTTGTGAAAATTTATAAATTAAAACACAAAATCAAATGTTTTATTTTTATAACAATGTTAATAGTTATAATCTAGTTTTATTAATATTTTATTGAAATGTGTGTTACTTAGGCTACAAATCAAACAATACAATTATATCTCATATGTAATAGAATATAATATATTATGTTAAATGTGATAAATTAAATTATCATGTACTAGTCATACAATTCTGAAAACATAAAATGATTTGCTTCATTAAAAAAATGTATATAAAAACCAAATTTGCTGGAAAAAATTAATCATTTTGCAGTTTTTTTTCAATGCCTTGTTCTTACAAATCTTATAAGATTATGTTACGAACGTTCTTTAAACAAATTCATATTTCACGAGGTAATACATGAATTTCTTAATGCATATTATTACTGAAAACAATTTGCATACAAAAAAACATCTATCTCAGACAGTCAGACGAATGAATTCCTCGATTTATTTTAAATCAGAAAATATATCATTAATACACAACTAATAGATTCTTTGCTACGATCACAATCTAAATATAAATCAATTAAATTAATCATAAACTAAGTGAACCATTGTGGCAATACAGATCACGTTTAGATTTTAAATGACCTTATAATTGGGACTTTTGATCATTGGCTTCTGATTTTTCGTACACGATAAATTCGATAAAAAATGAATT